AAAGCAAAAAATTGAATTAAATTCAAATCATATAACCAATTCTAAGTTCTTTGACTACAGTTATTCTGTGTCAGAAACCTTTTATGTGTCAAATATTTAATTACAATCCAAATTCAGACCTGTATCAAGCGCGAATATTGCGTCCATTTTTGCCCCAACTGTTCAGGGTTGGACCTCTGCCTGCGGTTGTTTCCAGCTGCGCTCAGCAAAGCAATTTATTGCCTTTTATCTTCAGAACTAAAATAGAACTTTTAATAGCAAAAATTATCACTAAGACAAGATCTACTATTAGATACATAGTGTAAATTGTGACTATTTTCTTGTGTTGAGAGCAAAAATTCTAGAAGATAAGAGAGAAACTGTATCCAGGGAGAAGACTTTATAAGTTTGATTAACTTGTGTCTCATCCCTTTTACATACTTAAGCAAATAAAATATGTTTAAACTAACTGTATGCAGTAAAATTGGTCAGCAAGACACGATCAACAAATAGGTCAATGAAACAAAAAAATGTCAGTCAACTGCTTATAAAAGTTACTGCCCTTGAATGATGATTTTGCCCATTTTTGTTTTTTTAGCAAAAACTATATCAAATAGAAATTAAACAGAAAAAATTATCATCAGTACAAGATCAACAAATTAAGAGATTTTAGTCATGAATCATATTATAGTCTACAATTATGTTAGTGGTCATTGTTGAAGATGCACATAAATCCAGGTAAGTAAAACAGGCTCTCAAGAACCTTTTAAGTTTTTGTCTCTCCTTGACGGAGTCAAAAAGGGAGACATAGGTATGCTGTTTCTGGGGTTGACGACATTGTCAACAATGTATGAGTTTGTGATTAGGTCTAGTTTATGGTGAACCACTAGTGGTATGTCAATGATATTTGGTATGCAGTTGTGTTAGTATTGGCTCATCTCATTTCCATGGAGATTGTTTGGCCCTGCCCCCGGCCCTCAATCATGGTCTATTGACTTTGAAACTTCTGCTCAGTTTACATGTATTAGTTTGATTAGGTCAGTTTATAGGGAACCACTAGTGATAGGTCAATGATATTTGGTATGCAGTTGTATAAGCATTGGCATATCTTATTTCCATTGAAATTATTTGGCACAACCCCCTCAGTCATGGTCTATTGACTTTAAAACTTTTGCTTAGTTTACATGTATAAGTTTGTGATTAGGTCAGTTAAAGTGGAACCATTAGATGTAGGTCAATGATAATTGGTATGCAGTTGTATAAGCATTGGCACATCTCATTTCCATGGAGAATATTTGGTCCGTACCCCTCAGTCATTGTCTATTGACTTTGAAACTTTTGCTTAGTTTACATGTACATGTATTAGTTTGTGATTAGATCAGTTTAAGATGAAGCACTAATGTTAAGTCAATGATATTTGGTATGCAAATGTATTGGCATTTGCAAGTCTCATTTCCATAGCCCCAACCCCTCATCATGGTTCACTGACTGAAACTTTTACATAGTTTACAGGTTAATGTTTGTGTTTAGGTTTTTTAAAGGGTACAACTTATGATAAGTCAGTGGTATTTTGTATGCAGTTGTATTATCATTGGAACATCTCATTTCCATGGAGATTGTTTAGCCCTGTACCTTCAGTCATGGTTCATTGACTTTGAATATTTGCATAACTTACATGTTAAAGTATTGCCATTTTAATTTCAACATTTGCATTATCAAAATAACAAACAGGCGAGACATATCTCTGTGTTAACAGTTTATTAGCCGATTGTCTTGGACCCAATTAAGTAATGTAATATGTATTTAAAAACACTGTGTCTATGGAGGTAGACATTCAGGTTTATAATTAGAAAAATCAGTTTCATCATGGATTTTAAATGTCAACTTTTCAGGAAGGAATGCCACTAAATCATTTATGCATTACATTTGTTATGTACTTTCAATTTTACAATTTTAACTGCATTGAAAAGAAAAAAACGGGTGATCTCTTCTTAAATATTTTGTTTTTGTTGGTTCTTGCAAGTTTGTCTTTTTTTGTGGGTATATAAAAACTATATGAAAATTGATGAAGACTTATGTATTTGGCAGATATTTTTTTTTAAGTTAACATGTGCACTAAGTTTCAAGTTGATTTGATCACAACTCCATGGTAAATTTCCTTGAACCAAAACTTTGATATGATATGGACCAACAGATGGACAAACAAACCCCCCCCCCCCCCCCATATTATCAGGGCATAAAAATTATGAAAACCTGTAGTATAGTACAAAAAGAGTGATGTGTCAAGGTGTTCAGTTTCACTTACTTGTTTGTCTCTCATAACTGACAACATTCAACAAATTTGAAATACAAAATAATTGCTTTCTGAAATAAGCTGTTTCATCTATGCTTACAAATTGTCTCAATTGAAGTAAATTGCAAAATAAACATTGGCATTGTTGCACACATGTAATACAACAGAAGTGTTGACCCTTATTAACCAGAGATCGAATGATCAACAGATTAAAGATCATCAAAAGTGTTAATTGGGCCATAAATATGCCACTTAAAGAAAAAGGTTACATAAACAAATACTATAAATGTACTTTGAATTGTGGAATTAATTCTTATAAAAAGCAAGCCCAATATAATTTTTTTTTTTCCATACGAGAATTAAGAGGAGGTAAAATGAACACTTCATCATAAAATATCATCACCAGAAATCATGACTTTCATCCATCAAGAATATTTCTTTATGAGAATTAAAAGGTTAAGAGTGTACAGTTTAGATTTTTTTGAAGATTAAATGGGTAAAATTATGCCTGCAGTTGTATATATTGTTCATATCCATGTAGATAAACCTATATTGGGATCTTTCCAGGTCTTGATTTGGACAACAGTTGTTATATTTCATTTGCCACTTAAATTCGTGGATAAAGCCATCCATGAAAACCATGAAAATTGGTACTTTCACAGTATAATGTACATTTAAAGTGAGCACTAGTTTTAATTTTTATAAATGCTATACATGTGTAGGTACTTATATACATGTATTCCAAATTGAACTGCAGTTCATAGTAAAAACAGAAATCAAACATGGCCTGCATTTCATTGTATGAACTAATGTTTCAAAGTTATGTACTCTTATCCAAAGCAAACACAAGTTTTTATCTGGTTAGTATTTTTACCATTTTGAGATGACTCAAGAAGCAAAACTTTGGAATAGAAATTTGTGGCAAAGTGAAATTGAACATTATCTTCATTTAATTGTAGGTAGTAATGTGGCAAAGATTTATGGTCATTATCTTAAGCATATTTCATGTTATAATCTAGAAATCATTTTTAGTATTTTGATACAATACAAGGGACATAACTCTGAAACTTATTGCAGCATTATTGAAAATCAAACTTGTCCTGCAACCCATGATAGGTAGTAATGATGGTCCTACCCTAATTTTCTACAATTTTGAGATATTTCATGTGTATAATTCTTCTAAGGGCTTTTTTGCAACTGAAAAATCAAAATTTATCAATATATCATGGTTGGTAATATTGTTTAAAAGTTAAAAGATTCTAGCTACTTCAAAGTGAACTGAAGTTCAGGTCCAATAACTGTCTTCACCGCTTTGAAATAGTTCAAGGGGCACAACTCTGGAAGTTTATTTCTGCAACAGTGAAAATCATACGAGACCTGCATTTTACGGTATTATAACATCAAGTTATATGACGTACGCTAATGTTATCATTTGCAAACTGTATTGGACAAACAATGTGGTAATTATATGTCTGCCCAGGAGTTTTTTTTTGGAGCAAAAAAGATCAAGTTTACAAGTATTTCCCTTGGAATACTATTATAAGTTTCAAACCATGTTGATTTCACATATTTTAGATCTGCACAAAATTAAATGTATGATTTTTTTCTTCTAATTAACTCCTACATAAAGAGAAAATCCAGTAACCGTCATACAATGTGGACCCCATGTATGCAGGACTTTAATATGTTAATTTTTCTCTTTCAGGTTCCTATATAAAACCGTGTCCATCCAGTAGATCTTAGATAAAGCATTTGCAATCAAACAGTAAATTTCATATTGAATTTACACTGTATCATATCCTCATGATATCGATTCAATCTATTAAGAGATCTTCCATTTAAACAAACATGGTACCCAGGGAAGGCACTTTCAAAATGGAGTTATCAACTATAGAGGCAAACTAAGAATAACTGTACTAGACACCAACCCATAGCTGAGATTTAAAAGTGTCTTCCCTGGTCCCTGGTCCCATGTGTGTTTAAATGGAACAGCACAAACAGGCAGAATGTCATCCCACATATTCTGATCGTTAAATCATGGATAAATAATATCCTTATTTAGAATAATTTATTGATTAACTGGCCTCATCACAGAAGATAGTTGACCCTTAGCTGGGCCAAGTATAAAGTTTCTGATAACAGGACAAACTATATATCATTGAGATGGGAGCCATCTATGTGTGCCCCGCTATTAATAATGTGTGGTAAAAAATTTGTATCTTTAACATTGGACATGGGGTTGTCAACTGAAACCAAAGTTTTTGACCTTGACCTTTGACCTAGGAAGTTGTACATAAATTATGACACACCCTCTGGTGTTGGTTTATATACATGTCAAGTATAAATTTTGAAATCATAAGGGTTCTCAAGATATAGAGCGAACACGATCTTTACCATAGGACAGTCAACTAAAACCAAAGTTTTTGACCTTGACCTTTGACCTAGGAAGTTGTACATACATTATGACACACCCTCTGGTGTTGGTTAATATACATGTCAAGTATAAACTTTGAAATCATAACGGTTCTCTAGATATAGAGCGGACAAAATTTGTTATAGACGGACGGACGGACAGACTGATCACTATAGGGCGTCCGCCATTCTGCGGGGCCCTAATTACACTACCCATAGTACAATGAAAAAAAAAGATATCTCAGCCCAAGAAGAGAAATTTCTGTTTTTGACTATTAAATTTCCATTTTGGATGATAGACAACTAACTAATCACAAAATGTTCATGTCATTTAATATCTAAATCATATAACAACAATGTAAAAATCAGTTGTTTATCAGGTTCTCTAATGATAACTATTCAAATGAAAAAAAAATAATCAATGATGAAATATTAGATGAGCAAAACAAATGACAACAAATCAATAAAGAGAATTTACATGAGAACAAAAATAAAATAAAGATCTAACATTATAAAACAAACACTGTCTTCCCAGTATTAAACAACACCAAATAAAATAATATGTTTCTGAATTCTATTTTAAGATCAAATTCTGAAATCAAAATCATACTACAACTTGAGAACGATCAGGTATTTTATGAACATATAAACTCCTTTCAAAGGAGTGTATAAATTTCCTTCCAATATATGCTCATTTTATAATGTCCAAATTTAAAAAAAAATTCATTCAAACATAGTTGGTAAATACCATTAGTTATCAATCTTCTGCAAATCTTTATGGTCATAAAAATTCCACACAATGGAAGTTCATACTTAAGTCATCAAATTGTTATTTGGAAAAAAAAAAACATTTCCATTGTGAAATTCATACATACATTGTAACTGACCCACGCATCTCTCAAGGCAATGTACTATGTTCAATCACTTTCATTCTATTTTTCTCTCACTTTTATTCTTCACATACAAATATCTACGGCTTATAAAGGCATTGTGTTTCACAAAAATCCAAACATGTCCAAGTCTTTATATCCTGTGAATTGCCACTTCCTTTCAATCAAAGCACCAACACCAGTTGTCTGCATCCTGAACAAGAACGGTAATTTCTCTAATAAATCTTCTAAGTGGCTGGTCTTTGTTGCAATCCCTAACTGGTTTATATAAGACCAGATATATTCTACACTTGCTCCCATGGGATGAACATGTAAAAAACATGCAACTAATCCTAAAAAAAGATATCATACAATCAAAACATTATATAATAAATGGGGAATATGTCCATGGGACACAGATGATGCCCCTGCTTGCATATCATATAAAGTTATAAAGGGACATAACTGAAGAACGGTAAGAATGACACTACCCAAATTTGTACTTGATCTGAGTTTTGTGGTAATTAGTATTGTGTATAAGTTTCATTACATTTGGTTGAGGCTAACTTAAGTTAGAGAACGGAAAAGAAAATTTAGCAAGTTTTCCTTTTGTAAAGGGGCATAACTCTAGAACAGTAAAAGTGACACCACCAAAATTCAAAATTAATCTGTGTTTTGTGATAATAAGCATTGTGTATAAGTTTCATAACATTTGGTTGAGGCAAACTAAAGTTAGAGAATGGAAACCAACTTTGGGACGTACAGACGTACGTACGGATGGACAAGGGTAAAACTTAATGCCCCCTCCGCTATGGCAGGGGCATAAAAATAAGGAGATGTAGTATGATTGCCAATGAGACAACTATCAACCAGAGTTCAAAAGAAGTGGATATAAGCAATTATAGGCCACCGTTCAACAATGAGAAAATCCCAAACATTAAAGACCTTCAGAATTAATTTGCTGCAATAATGAGCTCTTACAATTATTGGATATTTTTATCATAAAAGATATGACATAAAATGTTGTTCACATCCTTAAAGTTATACTATATCCTTGTCCTTTGGTAGAGTGGTCTAATTGGAAATCATACCACATCTCTTAATTTTTTTGTGATGTCAAACATGAAACTTCTTCTTTTATCATAAAAGTTATTTGTCATATCAGAATACATTCTCTTCCTAAAAGCCAAGAGTTATAATTAATGCCTCTATATTCCCTTTTGGAGGTATCTTTCTTTTTTTTTTCATTTAATTTGCTGTTTATCGTTAATACCACTGTGTCAAAATACCAAAGTAATCCTGACATAACTTTTATCATTTACATGTGACCTTTTTTTAATCAACTGTTTGAACATTTTTTAAGAAATCTATTTTCAAAATTCCAAAAATATGGCATACCAATAAGTTTAGCTTCCTTTTCTGTAATATTTAGACCAGAACTACTGACACTGCCATCTGATACTAACAATACCTCCTCCACTTTCTCTGCTTCAGCTTCCTCTTTTTCCTGAGAAAAATAAAAAGATTCAGTTGATCATCTAGTCATAATCTGACATAAACCAGCTCAGCAAAGCATAAATTCTACCATCCCACTTTACCAGAATGAATATTTAACATTGGACTTGAAGTTGCATTTTCAACAAAGAGTGAAATGGAATATTTTTTTTATTTCCAAAATAAAAAAAATTTGTTGACAATAATTAGGATAGTTTACACCTTCAATACAAATACAAAGAAGAGTAAAACACATTGACTTTTAATCTTAATTATTCTAGGAATGATTAATCCTGAATACTAAATAAAAAATAACAAGCATTCTGAGAGTATTGCATGGCAATACATAGTCCCCTATCGGTTAAAAATTCATTGTACTGGCACAAAATATTAACTTGATCTATAACTTGTCATGGTGTTAACTATATAACAAATATCAAGTCAATATCTTCAAGCATGATGAAAAAAAGTGTGGAAAACTGATTATTTAAGAGAATTGTCCGAGAAAAACAACTCTGCACAAAATCATCAGACCGGAACAAAATTCGAACTTGATCTGTAACTTGTCATGACTAAAAACTATATACCAATTATCAAATCAATATCTTCAAGAATGACGAAAAAAATGTTCGGAAAACTGATTATTTGAGTGAATTTTCTAAGTCCATGAACCATAACTCTGCACAAAATCATCAGACCGGAACAAAATTCGAACTTGTTCTGTAACTTGTCATGATAAAACAATACACTAAATATCAAATCAATATCTTCAAGGATGAAGGAAAAAGGTGTGGAAAACTGATTTGCCGGACTGCCTGACAGACAGACAGACAGACAGACAGACAGACAGACAGACAGACAGACAGACAGACGGACCGAGTGCAAACCTAAAATAGCAATACTTTAACATGTAAGTTATGCAAATATTCAAAGTCAATGAACCATGACTGAAGGTACAGGGCTAAACAATCTCAATGGAAATGAGATGTGCCAATGCTAATACAACTGCAAACCAAATACCATTGACTTTTCATAAGTCGTTCCCTTTAAACAAACCTAAACACAAACATTAACTTGTAAACAATGTAAAAGTTTCAAAGTCAATGAACCATAATTAGGGGGTGGGGTTATATAATCACCATGGAAATGAAACTTGCAAATGCCAACACATTTGCATACCAAATATCATTGACTTAACATTAGGGGTTCATCTTAAACTGACCTAATCACAAACTAATACATGTAAACTAAGCAAAAGTTTCAAAGTCAATATAGACCTTGACTGAGGGGGCAGGGCCAAATAATCTCCATGGTAATGAGATGTGCCAATGCTAATACAACTGCATACCAAATATCATTGACCTACCACTAGTGGTTCACCATGAACTAGACCTAATCAGAAACTAATACATTGTTGACGCCGCCATCAACGTTGGAAACAGCATACCTGTTTGAACTATATTATTTGTAAAATAATCAAAATCAAGCATGTTAAGCATACATTTTCCTCTTTTTCTGTCTCGGTCTCTTTCCCATCTTTATCCTCCTTTGATTCATCAGTTTTTTCTTCTCCATTTTCATCCTTTTTACTTCTTTTTACCTCTTTTACTTCTTTCTTTGCTGCTATTACTACAAGTTTCAGTTTTTCATTTTCTTTTTCTATTGTCTTTGATTCCTGTTTAGCTTGAATGAGTTGCTACAACACAAAAATTCCTTTATTAGTAAAACTACAAGCATTTCAAATTTTCAGTATATTTTCAGGCACAATTCTGAGCACTTATTATTAGTTTTAGGGGGCCTCAATTTTTTTTTTTAATAAAACCTAATACTTACTTACTTTTAAAAGACTCAAACACTATATTGAGGACATAAAACATATACTTAGAATGGATGTGGATAATTGATTGAACTTATTCCATTACTGTACACATGTGTATGAAGGTGTAAATAAATGTCAAATGCTTATCAAATGGTAAGTTGTCTCCAAAGTAAATATATTCAAACATAAATTCTTGGAGCAAAAAGTATAATTGATGATTTACAATCTGCTTGTTAATTGGCAAACCAAAAAGAAAATAGTTTCTATGGTCCTGACCACTTGCCAGGTGTTAATAAATTGCTTCACCAAGCGCAGCTGGATACAACCACAGAGGTCCAACCCTGAACAGTTGGGGAAAAATTGGACACAATATTTGCACTTGATACAGGTCTGAATTTGGATTGTAATTAAATATTTGACACATAATAGGTTTCTGACACAGAATAACTGTAGTCAAAGAACTTGATAAACTTTTTATTGAGTTTTTGACAGATCAAGCAATGAAAATTTAAATAAATGTGGATTTTGTCCACACGTGATCATAGATGATGCCCCCGCTTGCATGTCATATAGTTATAAAGGGACATAACTGAAGAACAGTAAAAGTGACGCTACCCAAATTTGAACTTGATCTGAGTTTTATGGTAATAAGCATTGTGTGCAAGTCTCATAACATTTGGTTGAGGCTAACTTAAGTAGAGAACAGAAACTAAATATTCAGCAATTTTTATATTTATAAACAAGCATAACTCTAGAACGGTTGTGTATAAGTTTTATAACATTTGGTTGAGACAAACTAAAGTTAGAGAACGGAAACGAAAAATTCAGCAATTTTTTTGTTTATAAAGGGACATAACTCAAGAATGGTAAAAGTGTTGCCACCAAATTTCTTACTTAATCTGTATTATGGGCAAACTTAAGTTACAGAATGGAAACTAAAAATTTTGCAATCTTTCGATTTATAAAGGGGCATAACTCAATAATGGTAAAAGTGACACTACCCAAATTCAACATGATCTGTGTTTTATCAGTGGAAGTCAAAATTAAACATTGCATTGTATAAAGCATTGATTGTAGTTGATTCAATTATAATCATGGACAAAGGAAGATAACTCCAAATTTAATAAAATGCTCTGCTGGGCGCAGCTTGATACGACCGCAGAGGTTGAACCCTGAACAGTTTGGGCAAGTATGGACGCAACATTCAAGCTTGATACAGCACTGAATATGGATTGTGATTAAATATTTGACACAGCATAGGTTTCTGTCACAGAATGATTGTGGTCTAAGAACTTAAAAAAAATTTTAATTTACCTATTCAAACCATATCAATATTATTTGCTTTTATATATAAATCAGAAATAACCAATTTAAAATGGAAAATTTTAAAGAAAAAAAAAAGAAAAAAAGGAAAAAAAAATCCCTCCCCCAAATTTTTGAACACCTTTATGATTCATCAACCCCAAACTCAATCCCAGCCTTCCCTTTGTGGTATGGTACCTTGCAGTTCAATTTCATAAAGAATGAAATCCATACACTTGCACACAAGTCATTGTCCTGAAACTAGAAAAATGCTTGTTTTTGCCCCTTTTTGGCCCCTAATTCCTAAAATTTGAGGCAATTACCCCCAAAACAATCCCAGCCTTCCATTTGTGGTATGGTACCTTGCAGTACAATTTCAGAGAGATCCATACACTTGAACACAAGTTTTGTCTGGAAACTAGAAAAATGCTTATTTTTGGCCTCTTTTTCGCCCCTTATTCATAAACTTTTTGTGCAATTATCCCCAAACTCAATTCCAGCTTTCCCTTTGTGATATGGAACCTTGTAGTACAATTTCAGAAAGATCCATACACTTACACACATTTTATAGTCATGAAACTAGAAAAATGCTTGTTTTTTGCCCCTTTTTTGGCCCTTAATTCCTAAAATTTTGAGGCAATTACCCCCAAAATCAATCTCAGCATTCCCTTTGTGATATGGAACCTTGTGGTACAATGTCAAAAGAGATCCATACACTAACACACAAGTTATGTCTGGAAGTTACAACAAGAGTGCACATGCTGAAATGTCTCGCCTTCTTTACTAACCATTGATTTTATGTTAATAGTCCTAAATACAAAGCTTTACTACAAGTAACACATAAACTTAACATGATCCAAGAAAATGAGGTCAAGGTCAGATAAACCAAACGAGAAATACATGTACACCTTACAATCATTCAATAAACCAATGATAGTTGACCTATTGCTTATTGTTTCTAAGAAACAGTCTTAAACAAGAAAACTTAACATTGACCAATGAACCATGAAAATGAGGTCAAGGTCAGATGAACCATGCCAGACAGACATGTACACCTAACAATCAATTTAGGCATTAAATATAGTTGACCTATTGCTTATAGTATCTAAGAAACAAACTTAACCATGAAAACTTAACATTGACCAATGAACCATGAAAATGAGGTCAAGGTCAGATGATACCTGCCAGACAGACATATACACCTTACAATCCTTCCATACATCAAATATAGGTGATCTATTGCCTATAGTTGAAGAAAAACAGACCAAAACACAAAAACTTAACACTGAGAAATGACCCGTGAAAATGAGGTCAAGGTCAAATAAAACCTGTGAGACTGACATGTACATCATAAAATATTTCCATACACCATTTATAGTTGACCTATTGCATATAGTATTAGAAAAAAAGACCAAAACTCAAAAACTTAACTTTGACCACTGAACCATGAAAATGAGGTCAAGGTCAGATGACACCTACCAGTTGGATATGTACACCTTACAATCATTCCATATACCAAATATAGTAGACCTACTGCTTATAGTATCTGATATATGGACTTGACCACGAAAACTTAACCATGAAATGAGGTCGAGGTCAAATGAAAATTGTCTGACGGGCATGAGGACATTGCAAGGTACGCACATACCAAATATAGTTATCCTATTACTCATAATAAGAAAGAAATTAACATTACAAAAAATGTTGACTTTTTTTTCGAGTAGTCACTGAACCATGAAAATGAGGTCAAGGACAATGGACATATGACAGACGGAAACTTCGTAACATAAGGCATCTATATACAAAGTATGAAGCATCCATGTCTTCTAGCTTCTAAAATATAAAGCTTTTAAGAAGTAAGCTAACGCCGCCGCCAGATCACTATCCCTATGTCTAGCTTTCTGCGACAAAAGTCGCAGGCTCGACAAAAATGCTTATTTTTGGCCCCTTAATTCTTTAACTGTTGGTACCATAACCCCCAAAATCAATCCCAACCTTCCTTTTGTGGTATTGAACCTTATGGCAAAATTTCATAGAGATCCATTCACTTCAACTAAAGTTAGAGTGCGAAAACGATGACGACGCCAACGTCATACCAATATACGACCTCAAAATTTTTTTGCGGTCGTATAAAAATTATGTGATATTTCGATGAAAATAAAAATTTTGCAATTTTTCCATTTCTAAAGGTGCATAACTCTAGAACGGTTAAAGTGACGCCACCAAAATTCAAACTTGATCTGTGTTTTGTGGTAATAAGCATTGTGTATAAGTTTCATAACATTTGGTTGAGGCAAACTAAAATTAGAGAACGGAAACGAAAAATTCAGCAATTTTTCCATTTGTAAAGGGGCATAACTATAGAACGGTAAAAGTGACGCCACCAAAATTCATACTTGATCTGTGTTTTGTGGTAATAAGCATTGTGTATAAGTTTCATAACATTTGGTTGAGGCAAACTAAAGTTTGAGAACGGAAACCGATTTTGGGATGTACATACATACGTACGTTCGTTCGTACGTATGTACAGACGGACAAGGGTAAAACTTAATGCCCCCTCCGCTACGGCGGGGGACATAAAAATTGACCCCCCTTTTTTTTGTTTTTGTGCAATACACTATGCTGTTGCGTATTGACCACTCCCCACTAATATTTGAAGAATTTTCCTTTTTAATTTCTGAAATCTGAAATGAGAAAAAAATTGACCCCCCCACAATTTTTTTTCTTCACCTCCCCCCCTCCCCTTTTTCCCCAAAAAAATTCTTTCCCTCAAGATATGGTCATAATCTTAATTCAAATTTCCAATGGAGTTTGCAACCATAATTACCCATTTAATTACATCATAAAAGTCTTAAAATAGAAAATGACATACATAATCATGGCTAAAACTAATATTCCTTAATAGTAACTTCTAAAAATAAATTGACAGCTAATCATCTCAAGACAATACAACATTTCTTTATACATAATTTAAAAGCAGTGTAAGGGAGGTTATCAAAACATTGTGTTTGGATTACCTCCCTTACACTGCTTTTAAATTGTCTCAAGTAATTGTTTGTTAATCAGGAAACCCTTGTTTTCACCCTTTTTTGCCCCTATTTCCTAAACAGTTTCAGCCATAACCCCCCAAAGCAAATCCTAACCATCCCTTTGTGGAATGGAAACTTGTGGTATAATTTCAGAGAGATCCATACACCATTCCACAAGTTATTGTCTTGAAACTAGAAAAATGCTTATTTGGGCCCCTTTTTGGCCCCTAATTCCTAAACTGTTAGGACCATAACCCCCAAAATCAATCCCAACCATCCTTTTGTGGTTACAAACCTTGTGTTTAAATTTCATAGATTTCTATTTAATTATACTAAAGATATTGTCCGGAAACCAACTGTCTTCAGACGACGCTGACGACGTGATACCAATATACGACGGTCATATAAAAAACACAGGTAATCTCAGCAGAAGACATTCTGGAAAAGGTGATATGTCCAATGAATCCTCAGGCAAAACAAAGTGGAGTAAAAGGGATGCATGTATGCAGGATACTCCCAAAATGTCAATTTTATCACCTAACAGATATCTAAATGATAACTGAATGATTGTATTTATAATAAGCTGTTGACAAAATAAGAAAATGATTGATCTGTATGTTGGATTTCTGAATATTTATTTCAATCATTTTTATCCAAAAACCAGACATGACTGGCAAACATGACTGTTCTGGACTCTTGATATACACTCTCCTCTAATAGCTTTATATCACTAATCATGTTCATAGCCAATGAGGATAACAATTTAATACTTAGTATGACCATCCAAACTATGTCCAAAAACCTTTTTCACCTATACAATAATACTACTGGTTTATTCTATTATTCTATTAATTTATTAATGATGGTTACCTGCTGCATTCCTTGTAACGCTTGTTGTAACATTTTCATCTGATTATCTTTGACAGTTGTATCTGTGACTGCTTTCTGTTCATGTTTTATCATCTCCACCTCATTCTTATAGGCATCAAGCTGACATTTCAGCGAATCATTCTCACTTTTTAAAAAGTTAATGTGTTCTGTAAAAAGCAATATAGTAAATTGTATATATAATTAAGAAGATGTGGTATTTATAGGTCAATCCACCTATCATTAGAATTATTAAACTACTGGATCATTCCAATGGTTAGATCATATTGGTTTCTACAGGAGGGAAATTTATCATATTTTCATGAAATTTCTAAGTTCATAATTAAGCAAAAAGTAGGTTAAACATAACAAAACTGATACATGGTTTGTACCTACTCAATGTACAATTACTACCCTAATTTTCCTTATATCTGCAAGAACAGCTGAAAGAGAATGGGAAAACTTATTTTCTGGTAATTTTCTGATTCAAATAGCTATAATTAGGTCAAAAGAGGGTCAACTAAAACAACCCTCATAGAAGTCTGGTCTAAATTTGCCAAGATCATTGAAGATTTATAAAAAAAAGTGTTTAATGACAAATGAGAAAAGTTTACTTGACAATTGGGATCAGATTAGCTGGTAATTAGCTTTTTTCTTAAATTTTTTTACAATGTGGGCCAACAATGTACACACTTCAAACAAAATATAATTCTGTGTACTTGAATGGAGTAATTTGTTATCAAACTTATTTGCATACCCACCTTGATTTGCATTAGCAACCATTTCATCCACTGTTGTACCGGATTTTTTCTTTTTCTTTGCGGATGATGGTTCATCTTCATTGTCAGACATCTCCATATCATCTTCCTTGCGATCACTGAAGAACTCATCCATTTGTGATTGTCGTGTTTCCTGCAACATATGTGTTATTGAATAATTTAAAACACAGCTTCACACGAAAAAAAAAGCTGATAAACTGGCATGTAAAAGTATTCAAATCATTTTTCAACACACTAACCTACATTCAAGATAGTTTGCTGTCCAGGTCAATGGAAAATCTAAAAGACACTTGTGCCTTCCCTTAATTTATTAAGTAATGATATTTTCCACTAACCAAGAAGCTAGCATACATGAGCAAAGATACTTTCCTAACATATAAAACAAATATCATGATCTTTAATAAATTAATATTCACTCTCCTATTCAATACCATCTTTTACATTTTTTATTTTTATGTTATATATTGTCTTAGATTAAACATATACCTGCAACAAATTCTATCATGTTGAATCATGCCTATATATAGGTTTAATGACAATTTTTCTATAAAAATGCTTCAATTTTACATCATTTAAGTTGACCCTACTTTATATTCTTCATTAATAGGTTATGTACTTACCTGCAACTATCCCAAAAATAATAATTACCTTTCTAAGAAAATTTCCAAATTAGTTTTTTTAATAGTATGCATTAAAAAAGTGGCCATTTAATCAGAGGTTTGATTCTACACACAGTTCAATAGCACACTATGCAGTCTCACTATGCAATCTATTTTCATCAACACTGGTTCTTCTCCAGTGGCATAAAACTATACTTCATATTTTCATTTCTGCTATAATAATTCCTGGGAAAGCACTTAAATTGTAACCATACTTACTTTGACTTACCTATATGATCCTTTTTTGTTGAACATGCAACACTATTTCTTTTGATATTGATATGAACTATTCAACCCCACAGATTATCATTTTTAATAAAATTGAGAATGGAAACGGGGAATCAAAATGTGCAGAAAACAGCCCAAGGCCACCAATGGGTCTTTGACACAGCAAGAAAATCAAGCACTCGGAGGCAGGCTTCACCTGCCCCTAAACAATAATGTATACTAATTCAGCAAAAATGGACACCATAACACTAAACTCCAAAACATATAAATGAAACAAAATTAAAAAACACACAAGTCTAACAAAGGTAATGAATTTTAACGGATTCAAGCTTCACAATTTACTTTTGTACACTTCCTGTGTTTAAACTGATGAGGTGTGACAGCAGAAAACCCATGGCCATGTACTTCAACATGTTCGTCAACTTCTTGTTAGTGTCACATTTAAAATGCAGATTAAATTACTTTTCTGCCTGATTTTATCCTTAAACATACTGATCTATATGCCTCAAATAAAATCATCATTGAAAAAAACTCTTTTTGACATTAAGAAACATATTAAGTTTGACATGTAAGATTTTATAGACGTTTGTAAATGGACAATCGAATCATATAGAGACTATAGAATATAATCTATCCCTTCTCCATTCCCTATTCTTACTTATTAAATTGCCTATTTGTTACCTGAACCAGACCTACCTTTATCTGTTTGTACCATAGTTCTATATTCTTGCGCTGAGCTTTTGTAAAATGGTCCCAGTTCCTCTGCTTTTGAGTTGCAGCAAAGACTCTCTCAATCAGTTCGTCTTTAGTGAGAAAAATACACCATGTTATATCATACCAATTGCTAAAATTTTCTATTTTACTCCTGGCTCCAGGACTGACGTAGAAAAATTCAGTATTTAACTGAAAATGCCTTCTAAAATTCCCTCATTAAGAGAGAGCAGTATTTTTATTAGAGCCCTGGCTTTTTACCATCAAGCTGCTTTCCATCAAGTAAAGGATTTTGGAATATTTCTGTTTTGCATTAAAGTTTCTGATACATGAATATCTTATTACTTTGTTTCATTTTCAGTTCCAAAATCCTTTAGTGTCCAACAGAGCAAACATTACCATTCATTGTCTAAATCAATGACGTCTTCCGTAGAAAATATCCCTCATCCAGACATAAATTACCATAAAAATATGACTAAACTGGAAAGATCTATTTCAAATGAAATGGGCATTCCTTGTAATAATTGAACCAAGGACTATTTTCAGGATTTTACCTTTTACTTGTCCCCTGGACGAGAGACATTTTTTACTGAATCAGTCCAAGTTTAATCCTCCTATTCCAATGTTTTAATACTGTGCATCATACTATTAAATATTCACACTGATTTTTTAACAGTAATACAATTATAGAAAGCATCAACTAAGTTTTAGTCTTACAATTATAAAATGAACAAAGTTGCATGAATTACTGATAGAAAGTTCAACTGTAAATGAATTAAGTACTTATCTACATAAATCAAATTCTGATTTTTCATAATGCTTTCACTTCTAAAATATAATGCAGTGTGAATATTTAAGAAGCAAATAAGATTTCTTCCGTTTAAAGTTGTTTTACCTTCCAGTGAGTATAATTGGAAAATATCAAAGTCTAAATAGTTCTCATGTCATCAAATATATTTTTAATGAATAGTTGAATACTGTTGTATGTTTTATATGTTTTTACTTCAAACTCAGGTACTCACCATGGGTCTCCTAGTATCTAATTTTTTCCTCTACTAATTCATTTGACCCTCACCTCTTTCTCAGTAATTACCTAAATACATTCAGAAACATTGCGCTAAAACTGAACTTTTATCAATCTTGTTCTAGCTGAATTGGTTACTATCTATCATGAAAAATACTGCTACATGCTTTTTACAGACAAATTTATCGCCATTCTTATTACTGCAACTACATGTGTAACTGCCAATTTTTCAAAACAATTCTTGTCAAAGAGTGATCTCCCTTGCCTTACATTACTTCCTGTTCAGTACTTACATTGCTGTAGAATAGTTTCCAACAACTGTTTATATCTCATTTTAACTCTTTCAATCTCTTCTTCTCCCGTTTGTTTTTCAGACTGTAAGTTACGGATGCGAGCATTTGCACACTGTATCAAAGTGTAAAACTGTGCAACATTACGCTTACTACAGTCTCCCCTCTCTAGCCAAGTGTTCAATATGTGGACAGCTGTCACAAAGTCTCCTTCAGCTACAAATAAAAGAAAAGTTTGATTAATTAAGGGACTAAGCTTTTTCATTGCCAGTAAATCTAATAATAAACAAGTTGTAATTCGATAGAGAGTTAAAACAGAATAACAAATGACAAATTTTCTTTGACATTACTCAATCTATTAATAAACAGGGAAAATTTAAAATATTAACACAAAATCAGATTTTTCTTCTGGCATTTCAGTTTACAATTCTTCAATGGTCCAAGAAAACTTTTCCTGAAATGTGACATGTAGACCTTTCAAAGGTAATACTGACTGGAATAATTTGACATTTTCTGTTTCATTGTTATCATTATTAAAGGTGCAAGTATATCAACACCATAAATATTTCATTTGGACTGAAACAATACACTGCAAAAACTTAATTATAAAAGTCTTATTCATAAATTCTAATGAAATAAAAATAAATTTAAATATCAGTGGATTTGAACCAAATTTTAACAAGAGTGCACACGCTGAAATGTCTGGCCTTCTTTACTAACCATTGATATTATGTTGATAGTCCTAAATATAAAGCTTTACTTCAACTATCAACCTTATAATCATTCAATACACTAAATATAGTTGACCTATTACTTATAGTTTCTAAGAAATAGACTTAACCAAGAAAACTAAACATTGACCAATGAACCATGAAAATGAGGTCAAGGTCAGATGAACCATGCCAGACAGACATGTTCACCTTACAATCAATTTAGGCATTAAATATAGTTGACCTATTGCTTATAGTATCTAAGAAACAAACTTAACCATGAAAACTTAACATTGACCAATGAACCATGAAAATGAGGTCAAGGTCAGATGATACCTGCCAGACAGACATATACACCTTGCAATCCATCCATACAACAAATATAGTTGATCTATTGCTTATAGTTGAAGAAAAACATACCAAAACACAAAAACTTAACACTGAGAAATGAACCGTGAAAATGAGGTCAAGGTCAAATAAAACCTGTGAGACTGACATGTACCTCATAAAATATTTCCATACACCAAATATAGTTGAACTTTGACCACTGAACTATGAAAATGAGGTCATGGTCAGATGACACCTACCAGTTGGACATGTACACCTTACAATCATTCCATATACCAAATATAGTAGACCTACTGCTTATAGTATCTGATATATGGACTTGACCACCAAAACTTAACCTTGTTCACTGATCCATTAAATGAGGTAGAGGTCAAATGAAAATTGTCTGACGGGCATGAGGACCTTGCAAGGTATGCACATACTAAATATAGTTATCCTATTACTCATAATAAGAAAGAAATTAACATTACAAAAAATGTTGACTTTTTTTTTCAAGTAGTCACTGAACCATGAAAATGAGGTCAAGGACAATGGACATATAACAGAAGGAAACTTCGTAACATAAGGCATCTATATACAAAGTATGAAGCATCCAGGTCTTCTAGCTTCTAAAATATAAAGCTTTTAAGAAGTTAGCTAACGCCGCAGCCGCTGGATCACTATCCCTATGTCGAGCTTTCTGTGACAAAAGTTGCAGCTTGGACAAAAACTATGTTTGAGAATAAAAGCCCCACTTTTTGTATCAAACAGTTATTACATTTAAGTTTGTCCATTAGCATCATTGCCTCATGGTCATTATAGTGGACAATGGGTGGTGGGCTGGGTGGGCGGAGTCTAGCATCCTCCATTCTCTGCATATGTCTCATCTGTCTGGCCATAGCTCTCTCTTTACATTCAAATTCGTACTGATCATCTCGAGCATTGGCATAGTCTACATGGAGTCGTCCTGTGTTATCTTTATCATCTTTGTCTTCAATTTTCATTCTGTAACCTGATAACATTTAAAAAAGACAGGATACTCAAATAAAAGTATATATTTCAAAATTAATATCTAACAAACAATTTATAAAGACGCTGCATCCAGGACAACATCCATTAATTTGACCTCTAGTTGACAGATCTAAATAAAACAAATTGCCCTATTTCACTAACAAGTCTTGCATGTTTGAAAATCTATTATCATTTGTTGCACCAAAGGTCAAAGTATTGTGTCATTTCTTTACAATTTTTTTTTGTAAATGTTTTTCCTAAGGATTAACTTTTACACCAATAGCATATTCATTAAATTTTGTTGTAAAAAGTCCATATCACTATTGCAAGGCAAAGATAATGACTTGAAAAGTTGAAATACATTAGAGATTTCAAACAAAACATTCATTTAGCCAATTTCTAAGGAGGATTTTAACAGGTGTTTTTTCCAACTTACAATACATTTGTCCAAGCTAAAGTTACAGCTCTTTTCATAAAGCTAGCAAGACAAAGGTTTGTTTGGCTTGCTTGCTTTGATTGTATCAATGTTTGCTCAAGCATTGTAATTAAGATTGACATCTGAAAACAACATAAAAAGGCAGATTTAAACTTGTATACATTATATTTAAATTTGATTGGACATTATCAAATTATCAAATTTACCTATACACAGGTTTAACTCCACCTACTTATATTGTTTGTAGATGTCAATCTTAATTACAATGCTTGAGCAAACATTTATACAAACAAAGCAAGCAAGTCAAACAAACCTTTGTCTTGCTAGCCTTATGAAAAGAGCTGTAATAGTAAGAAATGGATTGATTTATTTTGACATCCATTTTGATTATCATTTGGATACCTTTACAATAATAGTGTGACACCTTTGATAAATATATACCTGACATAAACAAAGCTCTGTCTGCACTCTCGTCATGCTCAAATCTGATGTGAGCAAAGTTTTTCTTTCCTTTTCTGATGCTACAAATAATACCAAAATTTTCAAATATTTCAGCCAACATGTCTTCTGTACTATTTTCTGGAATGCCACCAACAAATATGGTTCTGCATCCTGGAGGTCTTTCCCGTACTGAAGGTGGTGGTGCATTCATTGGTGGAGGATAACAGACACTGCTCTTTAATCTCAAGATTTCTTTTGGCATAAACTGTGCAAGCATAGCCAGGTCTAGTCCAGGAATGGAGGAGTTTGCAGTGAAGGACCCTGGACCCATTCCTTGGGATCCATCTGTACCTGGTCCATTCTGTCCCATTGGTCCATATCCACTGTACTGTAAGACAGAACAGGATTCATAAATGTACAGCAACACTGATTAACATCACATTTTTGGGGAAAATTGGTTGCAATACTATATTGCTGTCAATTTCTCTTTGGGCAAAAAAAAAAAAAAGGTGTGTTTTCAGTCAAATGACTGACCCACATTTACAAGCTGCGACCCTAAATTTGTTTTCAAAAAAAAAAATGTAGAAAAAATCTGTTATAAATTTTAAGTGTGATCGGAAAAAAGTTCCTCCTATATCGTATCCCATAATTGCTGTGATCTGAAAAAAAACTCTTCTGTTAGCATGTCCCAAAATCCTTTGGGTCTTATTAGCCCTTTTGTAACAGCGATTTTGCGACAGTGAATGATAACAAACAAATGGTCGGTGATACAACTAGTGTGCTTGCAGTTTGGTTGATGACAGTTTCATACTCAAACATTGAGATTGATAAAAATAAATAATAATCGAGACCTATATATTGACCCTATTTTTTGGGGGCATGCAACATGAAACATACCAATGTTTTATGGCCTTGTTGTACTTCATTTAATTTCATATATTATTAATCCCCACACAAGTTCGCCTCTACATGATTTGAAATGGGGAAAAAAAGAAGTGAAATTGAAGGAACAAGTCCCTTAAATCTAAGAAGTATATCATACATTTATACATAATTAAATCCTTGAATGTCTGGTCTTAAATTTGTAATAATGTTAATTCTCATTTGTAAAATGAATATTTATTTTAATTTTGAATTAAGACTTTAAATACCTGATTATACATCATCTGCATATTAGCATCACCCATCATTTGTCCTTGCATCATCCCACCACCACCATATCCCATTTGACCACCAAAGCCCATTCCACCCATCATGTTCATGCCACCTGGTGGCCCCTGGTTGCCACCCATCATGTTCATACCACCTGGTGGTCCCTGGTTGCCACCCATCATATTCATGCCACCTGGTGGCCCCTGGTTACCACCCATCATGTTCATGCCACCTGGTGGCCCCTGGTTGCCACCCATCATATTCATTCCACCTGGTGGCCCTTGATTCCCACCCATCATATTCATGCCTCCCATTGGTCCTTGGTTCCTGTCCATCATATTCATTCCACCTTGTGATGACATACCACCACTGTTTCCTGCAAATCACAAAAAAAGGAATTGTTCAGATTTTCATTGTCATCTTCCTTACAAACAACACTGAAGCATCATTAAAAGTTCAGTATTTGATTTAATTGAATGGTGGATTTATTACATTTAGCACTTATTTTTCTACCATACAGAATGAATACATGAATATGTGGTACAACCTACTTTGAACTAGTTTTATCAGGAACATATATATTGACGGGACCTGACACTACCTAATTGTAGCCGATTTTATCGTCGGGTCATAGTTAATAAAGATATGATACGGAAACGGACATGTGTTAAAAACGTACTCACTATTATCCTTATAGTTTCTGATAATATCAATAAAATGTAATTCAAACATAGTTTTAAAGTGATGCCAGTGTATCTAACTTGTTATCTGTCACTTCAAATTTGTTATAATCGAATTCATTTCATCACAGAATGGTACAGAATGCAAACAGGGTAATAAAAAAATGGCGCCGATTACATTCACAAATTCTCACTCCATTGAAAAACACTTCACATCAAGTAAATCACACTTATTTTGGTCATTTAATATGACAAAATATATCTACTTTATGATAAAACTTGTATCTATTTACGATTAGAATTATGTGGTTAATTTATTGCGCAGTTTCGATAGTTTTTCAGTCAGACGCTACCAAAATCCATAAATCTCGTGAAGTCTCGTGGAGTCCGAGATTTTCTCATTTTATACTGAAAAGCCTATCAGATTCATTTCCCGTTTGATATACTGTTCCCAGGTTTTATACTGACAAACTGAGGGAAATTGTTTACAAAATTTTCCTTTTTTACAGTATGTTCAACAGAACACTGGTGATCTCCATGTCTATATTCCTCCTATTAAGTACTAAGGGTTCATTTTGTCTTTAAAGTGACAGTCACACAACTGTAATGTGACCATACATATGTACCTTAACTAAGGGTCCAGAAACAGTCATATTTGCCACTCATGACCTAAACTGAAAGCAATTTGTCCTAAATGGCAGATTGGGATTTAGGAGAAATTTTTTTTTTACAGAAATAATTTCAGTCATTTCATAGAGATTGGATTTCTTAATCGCCATTTTGCACTTGTTTTTGTTTTATAATCAATTTCCTGTAATAAAACTGCCACTCCAGTATAGTATATATGATAATCCTGAGGGCCCTCCTAATAACCATATTAATGCCTCCGGGAAATATTGGCTAATGATCGCTAATTACTTTTTACCTGTGTTTTTAATTCACAGCCGACAGTGATCACAAGCTCAGAGCTAATATTATAAAGAAATTAAAATTCCATGACAACTTTCTTCATTATTTAATTACAAGTACTTTTCAGCAAAGACAATCGTCAATTCTGATTTAAAAATTAAAACTTGGTTTAAGTTATGTAGAAAAAGTAATTTTTCAAGAATCAAACGTGTGCATTATTTACTATGTAATATAAATGAGTGAAATTGTCTTCACCAGATTAGACTCTTAATCGTAATGCAAAATGATTTCATGCTAAATTAATGAGTGCAACATTTACTATTATCTGTTTTATTCAAATATTTTTAAAGGTATCAAAATAAAAAATCCAGTGATTTCCTGTCAATTTGATCAACATAATCCCAGAAATGAATCCTGAATTACTCATAATTTAGTATTTTTGTGCAACTTCTAGTTTTAATTACGTCTTCAAAATCGAAAGAAACATTAGCTATGTTTGAGAAACTTACCATTTTGAGTCATTAAAATCATTTCAATTTTAAACTGTTTCATTCCTCAACTGTTCCTGAACGTTTTTAGAAAAATGGTAAAAAAATTCACAAAGTAAATGCAATGAAATAGTCAATACAAGTTCGTTGATGCTATATATATATATAAATCTAATGTTTATAATTTCGACAGTTTGAAAAAAAGGGCCCCAACTTTAAAGTGGTTTCAAAATGACCCAAAATTGTGTGAAAAAATCCCATGAAATAATGACATTTTCATAGACCACAAAAGTTGAAGAAAATGAACTACCAATAAATGCAAATTAATAAATTCATGAAAAATATAGTTAACAAGGTTTACACATGGAATCAATTTGGAATATATATAAACTTTCATTATAATCCTATAGCTAGCACAGAAAAAAGTTTTACAGAATTCATGATAAAATTTGTGGTTTTTACCCAAATTAAAGAGCCAAATTTCACCAAAATATAATTTGCACATCTACATACATGTATTATGCCCGACTATGCAAAATTTTATTGGCCTCCTACCTATACTTTTGTCTGCTGACTGATCGGGTTGTTGTCTCTGTTCCCATTCTCAATTTTATTTTGAAGTTTTTGCGTTTACAAAAATTGTTGATAGACGAAGTGAAAACTATGCGGGATGCGGGGCCCTAATTATCACATTTCCCACCATATAAAATGAACTGTAAGGATGTTTCCTGATGTTGATTTTAAATGAACTGTGAGTACTCTCAGATCTGTACTTAGTGTCCTTTTTGTTGTTAGGGATGGATAAATACCCTGCCACATCCAGTCTGTATTTTTGTTTGATTGTTCTGCTTTGTATCGATCTGATGAGTTAAGCCTTTTTCATCTGATATTTTTAGTTTGTTCTTATGTTGTGCTGTTTCACCACTGTCCCAGGTTAGAGGAGGGTTGAGTGCTCACAAACATGTTTAACCCGCCACATTCTTTATGTGCCTGTCCCAAGTCAGGAGCCTGAAGTTCAGTGGTTGTTGTTGGTTCATGTCGGTCATATTTGTTTTTCGTGAAATTGTTTTGTTATAAATTTGGCCGTTAGTTTTCTCAATTGAATTGTTTCCTATTTTTTATGTCAGGGCCTTTTATAGCCAACTATACGGTATGGGTTTTTCTCATTGTTGAAGGCCGTACGGTTGTCTATAATTGCTTACATCCACTTCATTTGAACTTTGGTGGATAGTTGTCTCATTGGTAGTCATACCTCATCTCCTAATTTTTTTATTTGATGTCATCTTTAGAAATGAAAACAGATCTTCATGACCTTACACTGTAAATTCTAGACTAAATACATGCATTTTTTGCTTTCAACAACCCATAACAATTCATGATTCATTTAAAATAGACAGTACAATGTCCAGGTAGCAGTGTAATTATACCAGCAAATATTAAAGTGTGTTTCTCAATTTAGATTCAAATAGCACATTAATTTCTTAACTTTTATCACAGTAAATTTATTTTTCTAATTAGTCGTGTTTCCCATTTACATTTGCCATACTAAGAATTTCACTTTTTCTATACCTTCTAATGGCATAGGAGGTTTTCCTTTGCTTCCGTCAAACTGAAGTGGAGCATTGTTACTGCTGGGGTCAAATCCTCTATTTCTTCCAGGTTTCTGTGGCCCTATCATAGTATGAGTACCTAAAATTACAAAAGAATTATCTAATTTAAAAAAAATCTTCCCAGTGTAATAAATTAACAAATCCCTGCAATCATCCATTATAGCAATTGAAGTTTTTCAGTTTTTTTTGTATGCTATTTTCAATGATCAATATTTTTTTTTATTGGCCAATACACATTGCTATTTTAAGATCTTATGCAGTTGATTGATATTGTCAAACAATATTTTTTTCCATTTTGGCAGCTGTAAGCAACTGGGAAACCATTCAAACTTACTGAATTTCATCATTTCAATAATTTTAATTTCATGCATTGCCTAGTCATGCTAGTTAGCAAAATGTACATTTGGCATAAACTTCCGTCAAAGTAATGGACTCGGCGAAATAAAAGCTACCAAGGAGTGAAAATATGAAATTTCAGGATAGCTCAGTGATTGTTCAATGTACATACAAACCACCGACAGAAATGAAAGGCAAGTCTTTTTTTAATCGATACACGTCTTAATTGTATGATTTAATGCAGGGTTTCCCCTGGGTCAATATCATTTTTTAATAACCAGTAATATTAAGTCCCAGTGTACATTAACCCTACAACTCTATTTCATAATCAACATTTAGATAAACACTAAATAGGAATTATAATTTTTATTTACATCTATGGATACTGTTTCATAATACAAAGGCAATACAACTTTGTTACTGCCCCTATTTGTGGATATAGGAATGCCAATAATTAGATATTATTTCAAAACATTGAAGATCTTGACCTTCAATCAGTTGATCAGATACATTGTACTTCCTGTCTAGTAATAGAAAATCAGTTTTTTTTTCTCTAATTCTATAAAATTTATTTTTCCATTCACTCGTTAAATGTTTACTTTGTTAAAGACAGGAGTGCTAAAACAATTGTGAAGTCCCCACTTCAAAACAATTGTTTTTGTAAAAGTTGTCAAATCAAACTGATTATCATTTCAGTGACATGTGAAGCCATTTGACCACACCATTTTTAATTGATAACACCTTTTATTGATTAGTTGATTTGCTGATACAAATGTTCACACCATTTTAAAAATCAAAAGCTGATTATTGATTTCCTGTCAAAGTAGAAACGTGTGATGAGTTCAAAGTCAATAGATAGGTTTCGATTGACACAATTAGAGCGAGAGTTACTTCCTGTTTATCAACATGTTGGAGGTCTAAGTGCTTCAAAAACCAGCCAAATTCATCTTGTTATATTGACGGCTAGACTTTAAAAAAAGGGTTTTTCTGAACTATTTTTATTTCTTCCAGCCTTGCTTACTTTATGACAAGGATCTTGAAAGAATCTCTTATCAGACTTGTGCATATCGCAAATTTCAATTTGGTTAGTCAAATAGGAATTCTGTTATCCCTCCAAAATGGCAGCCAAGGGAAATACCTCAAACTCAACTTACATCAACCGAAACCCATCTATAAGCTGGTGTTGACTGTTGAGAGAAAAAGAAAAGAAGCCAGAGAAACAATAAAGCAAGATTGATGACGTAGAACCCATTTAATTCTTTCGCAATAAACTTTCGCCTATAATGATTTTTATTCACCACAATTTAATTTCTTTGGCAAATCAAATAAGAAAAGAGGGGCATCATAAATTTAGGGTGATTTTATGTATTATATGAATGTCATGTAAAATACTGTATGTTGTACAGATTATATTTGTTATATGTGTATTCCCCCTGGGGACCTAATTTAGAAAATAAAATATCTTTATCATATAACAATAGATATAAAATATATTAACAGAAAATAAGAGAACAAGAAAAATTATAGAGGTTCATTAAAAAAATTCATGACAAGTGCACAGGAGTAGGAACTTTACATCACCACAATGCATAGGTCATCAAATTATGTGTTCGTGTGACGACTAACATTCCCGTAGTTCATACCTAAAATTAAGTGCTGTTACTGTTCTGTACTGAAATTTCAGACACTATTGTACTGAAATTTCAGACTTTTCCTTCGCCCGAGCGTGTTTTATTCCAAAATGAGGCAGTAAATAAAGCACAAATCTTATTCGATTCTGTGTTTGGATGGATGACCTTCTAATTTATCCCATATTTATCGATCAGATGCCATATCAAAAGCATTAAAATGCTGTACAATTATCAAAATGATCAATTAATAAATATGTTTAAACAAAATCCAGGAATAAGAAGTCCACTTTAATTGTAGTTCTAATATGATCATTGGATTTGCAACTGATATCGCACATATGTCATGATATGTTCAGCACGTAAAGATTAGTGTCGATATCCTTAGGGTCGAAATAACGAATAAATGACAAGTCGGACCAAAGACAAGTCGGACAAAGACAACTCGGACCCATATTAGGAAAACTCGGATCAGTGTAGACTCGGACTATTTTGAAAGACAACTCGGACCACTTTTTTTAGACAACTCGGACCAGTTGGAAAGACAATTCGGACTACCTATGAAAGCAACATAGACAAGCTTGGAAGACTGGTCGGACCATTTTTTAAATTTTTATTTCATTTTAAGTTATTTGTTGTTGTATTCATAAATGTATCTGTTCATGCGACTGTTTTTTGATAAATGTGTATATTTAAAAACAGAAGATCCCAAAACAGTACTCACAAACAATTGACCAGAAAAAAAAAACCCTAAAACAATGGACAAAAAAATATCTCCTGATAAAGATTGTCTTTTTAAAAATCGGCCCGACACGTAATTCAAAATGGTCCGATATGGCTTTTAAACTGGTCCGAGTTGTCTTTTAACCCGATAAGCGTACCTTATATTATCCCATTCAGTTTTCCAACTGGTCCGAGCTGTCTAAAAAGTGGCCCGAGCTGTCTTCAAAACTGGTCCGAAATGTCTTGGTCCGACTTGTCTTTGGTCCGAGTTCCGAAATAACTGCATACAAGCATCGAAAGAACACAGATTCAGATTGGCGGAGTTTTCGAAAGTTTTCAAAATGAGCAAATCACCGATTGCTCCGAATACAGCTAAAAGAAAGAAGTTAGATGATACACTGAGATATTTCACAGAAGGTTTATACATGTTTAATACAGAAATCATACTGAAAATTTCACGGTTGTTGCAGATTTACATAATGGTGGTGAAAAACACGCCTACACGGAAAACATCATTGAAACAGAACAAACATGAATAGGTTTTCCCGTATTTTCTTACTATTTCCTCTTCCTTCCAAAAAATCTGCCCCTATTTGATATGGCTGCAATAGACCTTATCGTTATAAGGGAATCTGTGACACTTGACCTCATACAACAATCACTTTTGCTTTGTGGCGTCAGACATTTTCTATTATCATGTCAAAATTTTATGTGAACCGTTTGTGATGTCCAGTAATGGCGGACAAATAACGATAAGGTGTTTAACCATATAGTGGCCTATATTTCACATCACCTGAACTTTGGGATCACAATACTGGTATAAATGCAACATAAACTGTCTTTCCCATGATATTGTCTGTCGGACAAAATTTCATAACAAATATTGTTCGCGTACACCAGGGCTTCCAAAAATTATTTGAGCCAGCTGCACATTTTTTGTCTTATCCCAATTTTAATCAATAAGCAATAGGTCAACTATATTTGGTGTATGGAATGAATGTAATGTGTACATGTCTGTTTGGCAGGTACATGTATCATCTGACCTTGACCTCATTTTCATGATTCATTTGTCAATGAAGTTTTTGTGTTTTGGTCTATTTTTCACTATAAGCAATACGTCAACTATATTTGATATATGGAATGATTGTAAGGTGAACATGTCTGTCTGGCAGGTATCATCTGACCTTGACTTCATTTTCATAGTTCATTGGTCAATGGGCTATTTCTTGAATCAGGTCGCCGGAAAAGATCATCAATTTCGCACGCCTTTATGACGCCATTTACCAGATAGAAGGCGCACCTGTATCCCTGATCTATTAAAATTTCAAGCACTTTCAGAATCATCATTGACATTCTGCAGGGTAGTCTAGAAATAATATATGTTCAGTATGTACGTAATCGTAATAACCGTACGACTGAAGGGAGGGTGACCAACTTATTAGATTTTAATTTCCCAAATATTTTGTGCAGTATAAGATCAAACTTTATCACCCGTATGCTCAACATGTGTTGGAAGTGACGATGCCTACATTTTGGTCACATGGTGATTGAAGTCACATGACAGATTCAACTAACTACCGTATCCCAGAACTGGCATATGTATTTAGTTTCTGTGTTTTGGTCTGTTTTTCAATTGCCATAAGCAATACGTCAACTATATTTGGTGTATGGAATAATTGAAGGTGTACATGTCTGTCTGACAGGATTTATCTGACAATTTGGTGTATGGAATAATTGAAGGTGTACATGTCTGTCTGACAGGATTTATCTGACATTGACCTGATTGTCATGGATCTTTAAAATTGTTAAGTTTATGTGATACTTGTAGTAAAATCTTTATCTTTAAACTTTCAACATAAAATGAATGATCAGTCATGTCAGTAAAACAGGCAAGACATTTCAGCATGTGCACTCTTGTTATATTTATTAATGGATAAATACATCAGCAGTCACTAAAATACATAATGCAACTTGACAAGAAGACCCTTCTAAAGAAAATTGGGTAACATAAAGACAAGGTGGACTGCAGATGAAAACATAAATGATAGAAGAATTAAAATTGACATTAATCATTGTTAATAGCAATCACTGTTTATGAACATTAGATGCATAATTTAACTATAATCCAGCAATAGTCTATTTTCATATTAACGACTTTGGACTCTGAAGTATATAATTTTTTGACTGGTTACCTAAGCTGTGATAGGACAATCTGGTACTCTGTCAAGTAAGAGCAACAAAAAGATGTAAAATCAGGCTTACAATCGGAAAAATTGGGAAAATCAATTGTTTTATGTTTTCTCTACACAAAAAAAATTGAGGTCACAAAGCAAATATCTTAATTTCACAATGTGCTTTGACACAATTCCCCTAAATGACCCCAGGTCAACTGGGACAATTCATTCACAAAATCGAAATTTGAATCTTGTATATTGTAAACCGTAAACTCATACCATGTCAACTTGTACCACTGCAAAGTCATATCAAGTCAAACTCGTACTATAAACAAAGTGTTCAGTTTACTGACTGATTTTTTTTAATCGTCTTTAAAAAACGTATTTATTATTTTGATATAATAACAATATTCTTTTGAGATCAACATAAATATATATTGAACATGTTGAATGTTTTATTTTATCTAAAAAAATTGCCATAGAAAATTTTTTTTTTACCATTCTGATTTAAAGATTAACTTTATCTTAAAGGGGCACTACATTGTAGCTGTCAAATTCATGTTCACAGATTTGATTCAAATTCTCCTATTTGATTTATAACAATGTAAAACATTTATCCAAATTATTAAAAGTCTAAAATAAACAACTTACAGACATGGGCTCAATAATATGTAGCTTCGTTTCGTGTGTATTTTAGTCTAGACAGCATCTAATTAACTATCGAGTTGACCTCCGAAAACCTCTGATGGCCATATAAGGGATATAAACATAAATATAGATATAAATAGATTAAGCGAACTCGTGCAATTGGATTTTTCTAGGTCTACTTAATTTCATATTATAGATTAAAAATATATGTTAATCATGGTTTTTACCTGTATAAGAATGTTTTTTGTGGATCGAATCTGTCAATCAAATGATTTACCTTTGTTTCACTTTCAATGTTGACATTCTTTTCCTTTAAATAACTGATCATGCTCGATGCATGCGTTATCCATCTCTAGCTAAGGGGTTAAATTGAAGTTCACATGAATACGGATTCAATGAGGTCGAATTATTCACTTGCAAGTGAATAATTCATCATCAATGTTTCTTAGCTTATTTTGACAAAATTGAACCATACTTGCTGCTAAAAGCGAATTATTATTTCATTATTTCACTTTCATTAATGATTGAAAAAAAAAAATCATACTTTAGATTTTTTATATATCTCGTAGCTAGTGCCCCTTTAACTTTTATTTGTCCAATCCTTTAATAGTTGAAATTCCCTACAACTTTTCATGGCACTCCATCATGATAAGTGCAAGTAATTTCCCTCACATAAATGCTAAAAGCGAAGGAAATATAACTACACACTTCATGGCTGCATGACCTTAAAATTGGAACCCCACATCAGCTACATATGCAGTAAAGCTAATTCCAACATTAGCTCTCAACCAGTTTAAATACATTTGTGTAGCAGACACTTAAAATTATTTCTAATAAGACAATCTCAAGATTTTCCAGCAATGTGGGAGATCTATTAAAAAACAACATCCCTTTTATGTGCACAATACATGTACTTGATATCTAAATGAAAACATACTCAAAATTTTCATCAGCAAAGAAAATGCATTTGAAAAGATAGAATTCATACTGATCTAGAGTTCCAAATATATTTAGTTTTTGCACATACAGTATTTACAATATGCATCTGTTCAAATAAAAGAAGTTTGGGGGATTTAAAATTGTGCAAGGAAAGACAAGATTGTTTTCCTTGACCTTATTAATGAAAGTATGTTCATGTTCATAATTATTGATACAGAGTTCAATTTTTTTTCCCAGCTAGAGAACCTATTAAAGTAAGGGGTAATATTAACCTACAGCTATGTTTAGACAGTTTAGAGAACATCACCACAACAAAAGGCCTACCACCTGAACATATACTGGATTTAATAGATGTTATTGGTACATGCAAACATGGTATGTACATGTATATATTTAGTGACGTACACATAAACTCTGTCCACATGCACAAGTTGCATACAACTGTTAATCTTTTTATGTATGTGTACACTAATATGCAAAAAGGAGTACAAATGTATATCGCCATGATGTTTGAAATCCTTGATTTAAACGTGTTTGCATGTGTGAAAAATATCAGAATGCATATTTTTCACATCAGGGAGAAATAATTTAATTTGTCACAATATTTTCTCACTGGCATATCAGATATATTCAATCCAGATTACATGTAGGTTTTGATAAGTTGAAATAAGGTCTATGTACCAAT